GCGGCGGGGCTACTGTAACATATTTAGATAAAAGCATCTCGGCACCCTATTGATTCATTCATTCACAAATCTTTATTAGTGTCCTGAAGCCCGGTCGTTTCAGACTGAGGCGGGCCGGGTCCACGTCTGTACCGTCAGGCCGAGCCTTATGGCGTCACCGTGGACCTTCTGGACTGCCCGTAGCTGATCTTGATAACACGTGCTTTGCACCATCTTCTGCCAGTAAAAGCATTGTTCTTCGGGGTCGGCGAGAGTCCCGGGCCAGCCCGCCAGCATGTGTCTGATTTCAATAATGACATCGCATGCATCACACTCGTCTTAAATTTCACTGTCAGGGTGAATTTTATTTAGAAAATATGGAGTGGGGTAAGTTCCAGTTTGCAGTAAACGTAATGTGACTGTCTGAGGCCTATTCAAGCTAACATGTGGCAGTGGGAATTGCCTACACCCCAAGTAATAATATTTTGTTATGTCGTTGTATCTGATTAAATGATCTTTATGATCCCCGGAATGGTAGTGGGCGTTGGATTGGGTCTGACCGGTATGGCAACGGAGTCCTCATGCCAGGTCATTCGTCGCCTCGTTGAGATTAACCTGAGTCTCGTCCACTTGTTCCATATGCGTAGGAAACCATTGGATTTCAGTATCAATAGCATTGACTTTGTTCATAAGTTTAATCACAGTCCCAGCGACATAGTCCTTGTCAAAGCTCGTAGTTGCTGCTTTGGAGTCACTGTAGATGTATGACCATTTTCTGTTCCTGATGGCTAAAGCAATCGTGGCTTGCTCAACCACCGTGGAGTCCTTAGTGAGTATAGTCAGAGTGTCCCGTACCTCTCCCTGGCTGTCGACCACGGCAGCCGTGTAGGCCTCTTTGCCTTTCACCCAGGCTGCGTCTAGGACGGCTGCCTGTTGTCCTACCTGTTTGATTTCTTTCAATAAAGCTTTCGCTCTCGCTTTTCACCTGCTAACATTGTGTTTAGGATGCATGTTTCTCGGCAGGGGAGTGGTTCATATCACGCTTCTAAGCTCCGCGTTCAGTTCGACTTCAACCTCCTTCGGGTTCTTTGATCTATTGGGGACTGACTTGATCGCTTTGAATATCAGCCTACCTGCACATGTCCTCGTTATTCTTTCCTTCTGCATCGTCTGTTGCACTGCTATGTCATTCATGGTATTGTGCATGCCTAGGCTCATGAGTTTCTCGTTCGACGCACTGTTGGTTATACTTAGGGCAGCCTTGACTAACTTTCTGATAATAGTGTTGAGCTTGTTCTGCTCGGCCTGCGACCATTGGAGGAGACCTGCCACGTAAGTGAAGTGACAGAGAGCGAAGGCATGTAATAGTCTTAGAGAGCTGTCATCACCAGGGCCCCTGTGTTGGTTGGTGATTCTCCTCAGTAGCCTGAGCTTTTGTTTTGATGAAGCCATTATAGAGGACTCGACAGCTGGTAGCACTATTAGTATGTATGGGATGGTGATATGGGCAGTGATGGTTGCTTTAGTTATTTCCTGGTTTATGCAACAGATAGCATTGATCATTACCTTGCAACTTTCTCACTCGACCTGCTCACACAATAGCTGCATTCTTTCTCTGCTTTTTCACGTATTGGTATCGTTTGTCATTGCTTCACATGACCATCTACGTTGCCTGCATTGCTCAAACGTAGTGTTTCCAGTGTCCAAGGCACTCTCGTAGTACCATCGTGAGCTTTTTAGACTCACAGGCATGGTTTGGCATAGCTTTTAGACGTGGCTACATTATTATTTCAGATATTGAATAAGTAAAATAAAATGCTCAATTTTACAAACAGCTTGATTTAACGAAATTAATTGGACAATGGCTGTCACTCTGGTAAATTGGGTTTCAACTGTACCTGTGAGCGATCATGATCATTCAGGAGTTGGATGTCACAACAAAATATCTGGCAAATCATCTCGATCAACGAAAAGCAAAAACATCACTGCTTGTTTGGGCATATCGCAAAGATATCAGTCGTTTTTGGATATCATTCTTGAAGATCTCAATAGCTATTTCAGCCTTTTGACGAACACAATGAATTTCCAGTGAAGGTAATCTTAATTTCGACAGTGCATTGAACCTGCGTTGTCCTTTTTGTTTTTTCTGTGTGTGACTTACAGCACTTTGAAGGCTTCACCAGGTCGCGAGATCGCAGATTCAACAATGTTAATTTTTTGCATAGTTCAAATTAGTTTTTTTTATTATTGTATTACTATATTATTCTAAAATTCTTACAGCCATTTCCATGTGAAGATGAGTAAATCTTCTGGCATAAAAGGTCAGATTTCAGCTTAAAAGGATACAAAAGTGAAACAATGAATTGTTTCAAAAAATTGTATTGTGGGAACTTGTACGGTATTGTGAAATTGTACCATGATAGATCGTACTGTGAGACCTCTAATATCCTTAATTTCACAATCGTAAGTTTATTAATAAGAGAGAAGGTCAAGGTCAAAGTTTCATTCTTTTTAAGTTACGCACCAAAATCTCCATGCAGAACAAAATGGATTTCAAAAGGCACTTTTCTTGTTCTGATTACATTGGCTCAACGAAATTTTCTGAAACTTGGTGTGTAAGGCCTATAGCTTCCTCCAAGGACAATGTATTTTATTTTTACCGATTAGGAACTCCATAGGCCCTAGTATATGCCATCGAAATTGCTGATGTCACGATGATTTGGGTGAAAATTTAGAGTGGCGTCAACACCCACATTTTCTTTTTGTACGTTCTCTCTCTTGCCATCTTCTCAGGGTGAGAGGGGTGATTTCAGCATTGTGAAAAAGTGATTTACCAATACGAGAAAAATCTTTTTTCTCGTTGGTGCCTCTTCAATGAAGTTTTGATATGACGTAGTAAATCACCAACCGTATTTTACCATCTTTGTTATATTAAGGTTTAACAATATTTGGAAATAAATTCGTTTGAACCTATTAAGTTGGGACAATTAAACTACTTATATATTGTAGAAAGTTACACCACTTACCTTTACTGTGAACCAAGAATGCATGAGAGGTCATGTAATACATATAGTATATAATATATAATGGATATTATTGCATAACATCATTTATCCAGTGGGAAGGCAGACTCTAAATGCAATTAAAATCATTAGATATTATAACAGAGTCATTGGTAATAACATAAATTTTACTGAAAAAGAATGTCGCAGTAGATAAAATTGGAGACCATAGCTTGTAAGAATTTTATTGAAGCAATGGACAGATCAGTACAGAAAAGCAAAATTTTTCAACACATTCAGTTTGAAAATGAAAATTTTCTTCGGCACATAAACTGAGTACCAGCTTTGGTATTCATTTTTTTTTTTAAGTTCTACGGGCTGCTGACAAAGTGTGATAAGCGCAAGATATTTAAGTTCATCCCCAGAAACTTATGTTTTACCCTCTTTTTATTCAAAGCATGTGATGATAAAATCGATGATTTCACTTAAAGGGCTACTGACACAAAACTTTGCGGCCAAGACAACCTGCGGAATCGATTCCCATGAACATGCGTATTTCATCTGGAAAATATCAATAGGGAATATAGCTTGAAACATACTTTAAATTAATTTTGAAGTTTGAATGAGTAATAAACTCTATCATGTTATAGACAACCTCAAAGAGGACACTTGTGGACCCCCTACTTAGCTCACATGACCTCGCTGCATTAAGTTATGACGGCTCGTAACTGCCATTTTTCTTTGGTCGCGTTTGCTCCAGCAGACTATTACTTGGCAGCTGCTTGCGAATCCGTGGCCGTGGTGCAAGAGTTGAAAGTTTTGTGTTGGGTGACATTGCTGTCCCGTTTCCCGTTTAAAAAAACTTCATGATCTGAACTGCACAGAAGTGCATCACAAATCTGTGTGCTGACATGGCTGAGCGTTGCACCTGCTTGGTGGGGATAGTTGCACTCGGTTGCTTGTCGTTTTTAAAACCGAAACTAGTAGGTAATAACGAGCCTGTGATCAAAGGCTTAAGCAGAGTCAAGGGTCGCAGCATAAGTGCAAGTAAATTCATAAGTTAATTGTAACATTGTTGCAATTTGCTCTCATACATGGTTTTGCACTGTCAATTTACTGATTCTCTGTTGATACCATGAATCTGTCATAGCTATTTGTTACCTTTAAGTTGATGACACAGAATGTTGGACAGTGGTAGTAAAATTAACTAAAGCATTCTGGCATTACTTCTTGAATTCAGCTCATGTTTGTGCTTGTACGTTCATGATAAAGCCAGAATGAGCAAATTTTTTAGATTCTGTGGTTTAGACTTTTTGCATGTCACAAGTTGAGCTGCATTTCTTGCCTTACCTCGTATACTACTGAAACTATGTTTATAATATCTGAATGGAGTGTATTAAAATTTTCATATGCTGCTGTCTGTGTGATTGTGTACACCACTAGCGTTTGCTATTTGTATCAACTAGGGGCTAGGAAAGAGCAAGATATATCAAGCTTTGGATGAATTGGAGTTCCTTCATAGTAAATTTCTCTTCATTTAACTTAATTTTGCAATGTACAGCTGCATGTGATCATTTTGTTGAAGACACTACCACACTCGACGAGTCGTTCAGCGTGTCGCTTTCTGCGAGCCATGTGAAAAGCGTATTTTCTCTTCGCTCAAAATGAGCATAACCAAAAATGAATTCGCACTATATTTTTAGCTTGAGGTTTCATTCTGTTTATGTCAAAACAGAGGATGATTTTAGGATAAATAGATATTTTATTGCAACTTGAAATTTGAGTGTGTTACTAAAACACACTCAAATTTTCATGTCATGGTTTTATTCTTGTTGCAGTAGAACATTGATTGCCTTGGATCAATGTCATCGATTTGACACGTGCGCAGACATTTCTTCATAGGTGGTGTCTGAAAGGGCTAATGTGTATATATATTGAGAACTTCAGTACTTCTGCTATTGGTGATGACGTATGTATATTTATCTCTTTATTCGGTTCTTTTATCTTTTCTTTTTTCAGAGGACCCACAATGAGTTATAGCCAAAGATACTGCATTGACCAAAAGGAACAGCAATCATCTCGTAAGTGTAGCTGTGTTTCATGACATATATTAGCACGAAAACAAGTGTACAAATTTCGTAGAAAAAGGCAACATGTAAATATATGCAGTTAGACAGTATCCTTAAACGAGTGCTGGGACATTTTCAAAGTTATAATATTTGGTAAGAATACTGCTTCTATACCCTATGGATGTACTTGCATGTGGCAACATCTGTGATTACAGAAACATGGAGAAATAGTGAGTTATGCCATTATGATGCATCAACTAGTACATACTACTGGGTACCAAGGCGTCTAAAACAACAAATCTCATTCGGCATCTTTGATAATTTTTATGATTCTCTAAATACCAGTGTGGTTCTGGAGCCACTCTGGGTTCAAGTGAGAGATGTTTTAAACCACTTGAATGGCCATATGTTCTCTGGAGCACTGAGGAAGAAGTGGGAAATTGGAGGAACTTCCTGTAATGAAGTGCCACAGTTGGGTGCATGGCACTTATTATACTAATTATTGCTGTAAAAAAAATCGGTGCACAAGCAGTGGAACAAGTAGATTAAAGTGGAAAGTCGGACTAGTTGGTATGAATTAGTGATAAAAAACAGCCCATCATTATGAGGGACGGGTTGTAAAGAAATAGCACCTGCCCTTTTTTCTTTTCAATCTGTTCATCGTCTATATGTATGCACTGTTTCGATGAGGAAGAGGTGGAGTCCTGGAAGTAGTAATAGAATAGGTGTTTGGGCTGTTCCAGTGGTAAGACGTATTGAGAGCCTATTTGGAGTTGTGAATTAATTGGCTAAGACTATTTGAGGTGTCCCTATTCGGCTGTACAAGGCTGGCCCTTTGGGACCATTTTAGAGTGCTCAAGAAGGAACATTTGAAAATGCCAACATTGAATTATTATATTAAGTACCGGCTGATGCTAGCCTGTAATTTTTTTATTTCTTTCCTAGAGGTTGGGGGCCCCAGAATGCCAGTTATTCTATAAAAATATAATGTCACTACGTACTTCTTTGAAGTAAATTGAAGTAAAACTGTCATGTCTACGGATCCATAAATATCTCTGCAAAGATGGCAGTCTTCGCAATGAAAAGTGCCTAGAAACTTTTTGTTCTGGTAGAATACTCAGTGGTGTTGGATGGAAAATGTAATCAAGTGATGTGAGTCTTCAGCGCAGATAGTGGAATTCGGGTGATGTCTTGATACTAGAATGGGAACCATATTTTGCTTGTGAGGCAGGCATGCAAACCTTATCGTTTGTTATTCAACCCCGTGCACGGATTTTTCACCTGAATGCTGACTAAAGAAGAAGCTGTTAGTAGGACAAAAACTAAAGTAGCTCCATTTTAATGCTGATCTTTCAATGCGGCTAATGCTCGACCACCTATTCCAAGAAATGTGCAAAGAAATACTAATGTACAAGATTTTGCTGTTACTCTATAGAATATGTTCTGTTACCGTTTGTACATTGCCTGCATAGCAATACAACTTCCACAGAAACTATTGACACTATTAGGAAAGTCTTAGAACTAGTGCTATTCCTCATTCTTACCCTCTGCCTATCCCCCTCTCTCTCTATCTATCTTTGTAAAACTTTTTGATGATATAGGTGTTGTTCTACCATTGGAAGGAACTGCTAAGAATAAACACAGTGCATCATAAAAATTTTTGTCTGCATGATACAAAGAACCTGCTGCAATGTCTGTGCAGCTTTCTATTCATGTTGCCATTTAGTCTCATTTTTTGAGTAACATAATGCACGAAGGTGCACTTGTGCACATATACAGGCTGCTGCAGTGTGTATGCTCACTTATGACATTAACATAAGACACTTGTCAGTAGTATACTGATTGTATGCAATGGAAGGAAAGGTATCTTAAGCATACTCGCTATTATAACTGCAAACTGTAAGGGACTCTTGATATTTGTAGATGCAGTGACAATGCTTTTCTTTCGAAATAAGTAGTTGAGGTGCTCTGCATGATTGTTTACAAAAATATTTGTGCTATTTTAACTGTCATTGTTAAAGAAAATTGTGTCTGATGGTATGGAGCGCTATTTAGATTCGCTCTGTGATTGGCTGCTTTCTGCTTCAATGTTTTCCTTTCTGAGATAACATTAACATATTTGCCAGTAAACTTCTTTAAAACATAACTAAACCTTAAGGGATGATGCTACTTAAATATGCTATTTCAAAAATTTATGATCTAGAGCAATAAAACTGTTACTATTAATTGCTTTTTATGCCAATTTGAAATGCATAATCAGTTTTATAGACAGTAACATAAGTATTATTTTGTACCATGACAACGTTTAACATGTAGGCATTTTTGCCCCTGGTTTCTCTTTTTTTTTTATAACTGCAAGCAAATCATCACTCGTATTCCTTTGCATAAACTGTAGAATCCTGTAAGTTTGCTAAAAAGTATGTAAAATATAATGACAAAGGTGCAAAACTAGAACATGAGAAGTCTTAAAACCCTCTATCCCAGCGAAATATTATAGTTTTAAATTTTAGCTTGCAGACCTTGAATTGATTGGGTTTACCATACATACTGTTGGTTACAAAAAATAAAATCTCTGTACCATCCGTAATAGCGTACGACATATGTGCAGTGTCAACGAATGAGAGCAGTAGCGAATGTAAAACTTTTTACCTGCTCACTCACCTGCTATTCATGAAATTTTGCAAGGCACTGCTCCTTGAAAAAAAAAAAAAAAAAAACTTGCTTTTAAGGTAAAATTCAAAGTTCACATGCATTGTAAAATGTCTTTGTTTGTTATTTCATTCCTCAAGGGAGCTCAGGCAACCTTGGTTGTTATGACAATGTACATCTACTAAATTCCTCACTCAGACATCATCATGGCAACATCAGACATCATGACAACATCAAGCTGCCACAGTGTGTGTATATGTGATTTCTTGACAATTCACACTTTCTTTGAAGGGCCAGTAAACAATTCCAAGGTTCAAAAAGTTTAATGTAGAAAAATATGTGCACTTTTGCTATTCGAACATGCTGTCGCAAGAATTTTGCGAATATGTGCCATAATAAGGAAGTTACAGGGGTTAAAACATCTGTTTCAACCGGTTTCAAATTTTCGTGTGGCCACTCGCCACCTTTTTTCATCATAGGGAGGGGAAGGAGTAGCCCGTCGTCAGGACTCCACTCACATTGTCAATGTGACACATGTGGTGTACACGTATCCCGAAGGAGTACGGCTACCAGCGTGGGTCCGGTCTTAGCGAGCCGCAGGGCACGCGTTAACCGTCGCCGTGGCGAGAACACGATACTGCTCAAAGTCACAACACTTTATTGTGGCAACAACAAACGCAGTACAGCCCGTTGCAAAGGCACGGCGGGAAAGCAACTAGGCTTATCCACGCCACGGGCACAAAAGTACTACACAGGGTGCCACGAGCACGTCTCCACGGTAAAGGTGATCCACGGAGACACCGGGACCAAGGCCCGATTGCTCGAGCGAGGGCGAAGGTGCTCGCGTTGGCTTCGGAGGGAGACGGGTCGGCGTAGCTAGGCCACGCACTAGGACACTGTACCACCCTTCGGCCGTGCGTACGTAGTGGGGCAACAAAAGGTGAGCGTTCGCCTCAGGCGCGAGGCGCCGTCAGCGAAGTCCGACGAGCCCTGAGCGACGGGGTTTGACGGACGGAAAAGATTGCGTGGCTCACCGTTTGCAGTCCCGGGGAGTATCTGTCTGCCCGCTCCCGACGCAGCGTGCGAAAACCTCTCGGGAGACTCCGCGCGCGGCGCCACAGTCAACATCTGCTACCGGGTGAGGGGGTTAAACGTCACTCCGCTCTCCCAGCGCGGCAGACAGCAAAGGAGGGCAGACATGTCGGGACATGAGAACGGCAGAAAAGGCGGCAAAGCCCGCGCAAAGACAGCGGGCTAGCCTCAATTCCCACACACAACATCAGTGATTCGTCATCGGCGAGCCACTAATGACCAAGCGGGGCTTCCCCACGTGAGCACGTGTCTTAGCGGCGCGGGCAGGAATCGCTGAGTAAGGAGCACTTTTCCCCTTGTGGTAAAGTAGTGAGACGCTTCTTTGTCTCACAGGCTTTCGTTCTGACAATACCATTTCTCACGGAGTCTCGGGCTCAACAAAACACAGAAAAATAAAAATGCAGACTGCATGACTGAAACTGCATCACTGCAGGGCCAAGGCGCTGATAATTGGGGAAAGAACCAATCCACGAGCTCAGTGGTGTGTAACATTGCCCATGGGCAAGCTTTCTTCAGACTGCGCTTACGAGGGGGATTGGTATGGCAAGGAAAACAGGCACGGGGTCATTTTTTGAAATGGAGAGTCTGCACGGCATGCAGCGCTGTAATATCTGGCAAATGTGATCGTCGCGGTCTACACTGTACGAATCAATGAGCTTCTTTGGGGGGTATAAAAAAATAAGTCAGAGCCTATTTACTGGCCCTTTAAAAGATGCCGTGTGGATTTTAGACACTTTTCTAACTTATTTCTGGTTAGTTTCAACCTTGATTGTTATTGTCAGTAGAGTTAGAAAAACTGAACTTCGCCAAACAAGTGAAACGAAATTCTCACCCTTGTAGAAAAAAAAAATTTTTTGAGTAGCACCATTCCTTATGAGCTGGTAGAATGCTAACTTATGAAAGAGAAGGCAGAGGGAAGGAGTATAGTTAAGTGATGGTCCATGATTTTACCTGTTCTGTCACCTATTTTTTTACGGTGTGCAAGTCTTCCATGGCACGACTTCTCTGTGCCATAGATAGGTGGTAATCTTTTGCTGGTGGTGATAAATGTGAATATTGATTACCTAGGAACATGGATAAGCTTTAAGCAGTATTTTTTGTAGCATTTTTGATATGTACAGTCACCCGAATCTTCAACTATCATGCACGAGTGGCAGTTTTTTCTGTGTATTTTCTTCATGTGAGTGAACTAAGTTCCAAAAAGGTTGGTTGAGGACAGGTGCATGCTCACAAAGCACATGCCTACAAAACAACTGTTTGCAACTTCATTTCATCATATAGTGCTGAGAGAGAGAGAGGTCACCACTGTGCATGATAGTTAATTATTTGGGCAGCTGTATAGGGTGTTTAGACTAGCATGCAGAGTGTTTACAAAAATACAGAAATGTGGAAAAGCTGAAATAATTTCTGAGAACTCAGTAAATTAGATGTTACATGTACATCCAGTAAAGACTTTGTATTGCGATTTGACAGCGCTTGATTTTTGTCACTATCATTCCAATGAAACAGTATCAGTAATTATTCTTATTGTACCCTTGGAAACAAATATTTAATGACCTATATTTTAATGTAAAAAACTTCTATTGCCTTTAAAAAAGATTGTATTCATTTATTTTCAGCATGCTGTCTTTTTGGTAACTTTTTTTTTTCTACGTTATATTTCAGCAATAGCTTATTCTTGAAAGTGTATTTGAGAATGGCAGTTTTTACCCATATATGGTGTGAGTGAAATAATTCCCTCAAGTTGGCAGGGAATGCTTTTAAATGACTTGTGCCACTTTTATTGGTGGTGTCCTTTGTGTATTGTACCAGTTAATGGTTTCAATGTAAAAACACACATACACACACAACTTTAGTTGCTTCGGTTTTGCATGCTTTTCTTGTAGTGAGCTAGTATTGCTCATGCTATTATAGGCAGGAAGTAACACTGGTCATCATAAAATCAACAAGCACAAGTTATGTGCCATCACATTCATGAGACCGCAGTGTCTGATACTAGATGCATTTTGTTCACCTACAATGTGTGAAAGTGGTACTGCTGAGACTTACAAGAGATCTTTATTGAAGTTATGTTGTGGACCTTTGTTCAGACATGTAAAAAGTAGCTACAGAAAACATATGCTGTAGTTAATTTCATGTGATGTTTTCATTGGAGACCTAAATGTATTTTTTTGAAACATAAACCAGTGAATTGATATTCTGAGTTGTCCAGAAAACTGAAAATTGTAATGATAGAAGTATTCGGTACTGATGACCTCTGCTCAATAGTAATAACACTAGTTTCATTGGTGCATATCTCTCTCCTGGTTTCTCTTTAATGTGGTGTACATTCATTGGGGCCTTCTATATAAATACTCCTCTAATTGGAAGTGGTTACCAAAGACAGCAATTTTCTTTGTGTTTTAAGGTATTGAGTACTTGTTTCTCAGATATTTTTGTGTTGTCTGAAGTCATCTATACAGTAATTGCTTCCGCGGTGATATTTTTAGAAGCTCCAGATTTTGACTAATGGTTCATGCTGAAGACCTCCAGTATTACATGCCCTATTTCTCACTTGTGTGACGAAAGGTACTGTGATATAGCATATTGGCATGCTATTTTGTTGCAATAGCATGACAAGCACGTATTTGTAAGCAAAGATTTGTATTCTGTAATTATGGTGTGAGAGCATTTGTGGCTTCATTGCATGATAAGATATTACTGTTTTTATGTCTTCATCTGTGACACATTAAAAGCATTCTGTAGAAACTATTTTAAATAAATTGTTCAATGTTTCTGACTAGTTTGAATTTATTCCTGGCTCTATATTATTATAACAAACCTCTCTCAAGTTTCTACCAGTGGTTCCAAGAAAAATATAAAATAAACTTGAGCACTGTTTTAAGGTTCATATTCAAGTATGAAACAACAGCCATCAATAACATCTATTGTAATATATAGGTATATGTGTAGCTTATCTCACTAGTGCTTATTTTGGACGCAAATATAGGTTAAAAAGTAGTAATAGTCCAAAGCTTTTGGGAATAAAAACGATTTGTCACGCTACTTGTGTGCCCCTCACAGGGCTTTCTCCGCTGAGGTATGCGGGCTTTCATTTTCAAATAACTTCAAACAAAATCACAAGTATGTCACGTTAGTACAAAGCTTAAAAAAAAACTGAAATGCCATTTTCAGATTCTGAGAGTTTTCGTATGGTTTTCTGAACAGTTTTTGTTGTGAAAATCGAGCCATTATATACTTGTAACTCATACATAGTTCTGTTTAGTTCACTCAAGTGTTTCTTCAACTTCTGCACTTGGGCCCTCCAAGGTATAGCAGAATCTCTGGCACGCAACCATCTTTAATTGCTTCGTGTGTAAGGTAAGGTTGTGAAGGGCCACACGAAACTACTGTGGGTCAGTACACTATTGAACTTTGCACTGACTGAGTGCAGCGGCCACAACATGCATCTCGTGCATCTTTTCATTTTTGGTACCATGTGTGATTTCTGTATCAAACTAGCCCCATGTTGCAGACAGCAGACCTAGTAGGTTTGTTGAGGTGCATGTTTTTAGTTTTCTTCGTCGCAACGCTTGCCATTTGCTGATAAATTCTATGTATGAAGGACCTCAAATGTTATTTGGATTGAGTGAATGCAGGTTTATATGTTAAGCAATCTATTTTTCTAGGCATTCATTGGGACATGCGTTACTGTTTACTTAACTATAAACATTTTCAACAAATATCTGTCTGGCTGTGTGATAGAATCGAGGATCCCGACCTCAAAGAAATGATGCTGCTTCTTCTACTTATGCAGTCGACCACCGAGGAAAGAGCCATATTGGTCCCGAAAAGTCTGAACTAAAGCTGTGGCTAATACCATTTCACTGTTTAGAAGTGATTGTATACATGTCTATAAACGTGTCATAAGCTGTGTAAAATTTGCTGCAGAGATAGAAGTCGTGCACCATTACATGGGACACTGGCCGACAATGCTTCACACGAGCATAGCTGTTAAAAATTTGAGAGACCGGGCCTTGCACACTACCTCAAGTTGCCCAATTTTTCTTTCACCAGATCCTAATGCTCCTGTATAGTTAGAAGTATTTGGTGTAATAATTATAAATTTAAAAAAGCTACATAAAAAAAGTTGCATGGACGCCCACGTTGTCGTAGCATGTACCTAGATAAGTTCTATTGTTTTTGAAGTGAAGCTTTCTTTGTGAACATCCCTGGACCTTCCTGACTGTGTTGCTGCCTTACCAAATAGCTCACACTTAAAAATTACATGCTTGATTGAAGCATCGAACCTTGGTTTCCCAGCAAACAAGCCCGATGGTCTTACCTGGAGCTGCAGATGTGCTTCATAGGGAAACAGACTTCTGTGGCATGAGTATAGCAAGAAATATAATGTGAGGGCTAAGTGTGAAGGCT